TCTTTTAAATCTCATTTAATACAATATATAATTCGCTATAGCATTGTCTTTTTTTAGGGAAAATGCACAGAATAATATGTTTCGAGTAACATTCAGCAAAACATTGGAATACTCTTTTTTAGCGTAAGTCGAAAATGAAAATTTCTAATTCATTAATCACCAAGACCAAAAATGATTATTCAATTGCACTGTATACGGTATAGCTTTCCTGAGTTAATGAATATATGACAAGCAGATAAACTGCATTCCATGCGTGAAATATTATACAAAGTGGAAGCGAATTTTTGACAACGAAAGGCTTTTTTTTTAATGACAACACCTGAAGTATCCTTTCATTTCATTCAAATATAAATGCATTCCTTTTGTGCCTTGTGATACTTGATTGCGTCACTGGAAAAAAAAGGCTAATTTTTCAGTCACGAATGATTTTAATGAAAGAGTATGACAGGGAAGGTCTGTGCTTCTATACATACTATAACAGTGCCAAAGGAATGCAAATTGATAGGAATCCTCATGCTTCCATGCTATTTTACTGGCCTCATGTTGATAGACAAGTTAGTCTGAAAGAGTGCTTCATGTTAACGTTGGATTATTAGGGTCTTGGGAATTATTAGGGTTTTGGGGATTTAATGACTTGGGAGTTCTTGATTGAGGAAAGCATGTTACGTTTAATGACCGAACAGTTCTAGTGATCTGCAGTTTGTATATTTGTTTGTTTCCTTAGTGATTGTTTTTCGTGTTATTCGATTAAAAAAGAAAATTTGTGTGAAATTACTAAAATATCACACCATATGTTGCAGTTACTTTTAAAATATTAAATTTTAGGTTCGAATGGAGGGCAAACTTGAGAAATTGCCCGTTGAAGCTGCAGAAGCTTATTGGTATCATCGGCCATTGAAAAGTCGTATTGGTTCAAAAGTGAGCGAACAAAGCAAGATGATTCCAAACAGACAGGTTAGATCTCTTCACCATTTGTAAAACTGATCTATCAGTGGTGCTGATTTCCGTTCACTGAAAAATGACAGAGCATATT